GCCGAAAAATAAAATAAAAAAATAAAATAAATAAATTTCACGGTTCGCGTGAGACTCAGCAATATGCGCCGAATATTTGTGGACGTGCAGTATGGTCTAGTTGGTGGGGTATAACGCACAACTTGTGCGCCACTGTCCACCTCACTTTCATCTTTTAAATTTCCTTTGCTCGTCGTCGGAGTTCATACCCGCAATACCGCGTACTAAAGCTGGGCATATTCCTGCGGAAGGCAATACCAGGACTAGGTTTCTGTTAAAATCAGGCTTGTATTCAAATCGGGTAGTTGAATACACGCTAATACTAAAACCGGGCTTATTTGCCAACAGTGCGTCCTTAACATCAGGCTTGTAGTCAAAACAGGTTTCTTTCGAAATGAGACAAGGCTTTTATACAACACAGTACAGTGACTACATGCATCAGAAATCCTGGGCTGCCCCCTTCTCCCCCCCCCCCCCCCCCCTCCGGCCAAGGAGGGGTATACGCGGAGACAACTCCCCGCAGCTCCCCATTTAGAAGCCAAAGGGTTTGTTTAGAATTTCAAGGGTCGGAAACATCAGATCATCAGGGAACGTTTTATGAACACTCAAAGTATGATAGTGAAGCATAATTTCGGTCGGTTTGTCGGAACGACCTGTAGGAATCTGAAAAATTCCTTAGAATCTGAACAAGTGGCAGCCCTGCCAATATCACATTATCGCCCTCTGGTCATTCCATACTCATCAAAACAGATCATCTCACCTGCCTACCCATTGTCCGCCGGTGTCAAATTTCTTCGTACCCAGCGCCGTCTTTAGCTCCGTTGAGTTACTCCGGCCACCGATGCGATCTGAACATCAAAGGCAACGTAAACATGACATTGTGAAGTAAAAGTTCTCACATTCGCGTTACTATCTTCTACACGTTAGCCGCGTGACTGAGAAATACGAGACCAGTTGGTCGACGGAGCGCCTGGCCCCCACCACCATGGCTGCTGCATGTTCCTGTTGCGTGCACCACATGGCTTTTAGTAAAAAATATAAAAATAAAAATACAACCATCTTAGAAAGTGTCCAGCGTGCCGGGCTACCACCATGCTAGGTTACTGCAATCAACTTTGCGTTATAACGACACTCGGCGGGGCATCAGAATAGTGTCCTTATTCGCGAAGTGTCCTTATACCCGAAGTCTCATCATAATGTATCACAGTTAGATGAAACTTTGCTCTGGGCATGGAAATTCCGTCGTTATTCGTGAATTGTCGTTGTATCCGCAGTCGTTATTAGCGAAGTTAACTGTACAAGACTGCAGATTGTGGATTGCTTAGTGGCAAGGGTGGGGTGGTAAGCCTCACAGCCAGAGATCAAGAGGGAGCTGGACCTCATTAGTACCACCCATATCGATGACATTACCCCCATGGTCAATAGGATCGTCGTCACTAAATGTAATCGGAGTGAAGAGAAAGTGACAGTGTGTAAGTAGCGCATTTTCCGGAGTACTGTAAAAGCAGAAATTTTCGGTGGTGTGTTATTTTCGGTAACTTCGGTGCCGACAATGTTTACCGAAAATAAAAAGCACCGAAAAATTCGGTACAGCCAATACTGTATACATGTAGTACTAGTACACTTACCTTGAAAACGGGTTTTACCGAAAATTTCCCTCCACCGAACCGCCGATTTTGGAGAATACCGAAAATATTACACCACCGAAAATTTCTGCTTTTACATTATCAGCCGCACTGGAGTGTAAGCCGCACTGGAGTATAAGCCGCACCCTCCCTCCCCCCCCCCCCCCCCTTGCCACGAAATACAGGCATCCACCCTACATCTACCCTATTCATCTCCGTTGATTTGATCATCGGAGTATAAGCCGTACCCCACTTGGGGGTTGAATTTAGAGTGTTCAGGTGTGGCTCACGCACCTGAAATTACTGGAAGTAAAGTTCGTACATCCATGTTTCCACTGGTTATACGGCAGTGTTCAGGAACACAACCAGCTTACAAGATTCTCGCCTGATGAACAACCGGGGGGGGGGGGGGGGGGGGGCAAAGACAGTAAGGGCGCGCTCACACTGCGACCAAAACCAGCGTCCATGCGGCCAAGTTGCATGGCAACGGCATGAACTTGACAAAAACGTTGCGGCCACGTTTAAAATCGTGACCGCGACCTCCGGAGGGGGGTGCCACGACTTGGCGGCAACATGATCGCAGACGTGAAGCGTATTTGTGTACAACCTGGCCTGAAGTATGTTCAATTTCTCAAATTCCGGTGTGTTGATTCATTAAAATCGGCGGTTGTCGATGTCACCTCGACATTTGCACATTTTTAAAATTTTGTAGTTGTGGTCCTGCACGCACGCACCGCCATTATATGCATTCTTTGCGCTTTTTGGACGATGTCGATTTTTTGGTAGTTGCTTCGTTGTGATCGGGTCAGTGACCAATTTCTACAGTGTACTCGTATAATACGATGGCAGCTTGGTCTGGCTTTTTGGTTTCGGAAATCATCTTTCTCTACTTTTCTGCGATGATGGAATGCCATACCTCAAGACATTTCAGTTACATATCATTGGAAAATACAGTTCTCATCTCGGCAACAGACGAAAGAAACCACTACCGGAATTTCCACTGCACTGGCACTTGCTCTGACCATGAGGTCAGGAAAGCGAAAGAGCTTGGATGTCAGCGGCAGTCCCTCAAGAGTCCAAACCTACCTGATTGTATGAATTATTTTCGTCAACTTCAAGAATACGCACCACGAGGCACTTCCTCCAACACGCAACATGCGAAAATTTGCATCCAAAACGGGCCACAACTTTATTAGGAAACGCACGAACTCTTTTGGATACGAACTGCAATTCGTAAAGTTTGTGTGACAACTTCACGTCTACGCGTGTACGAGGCCTAGTGTGAGCCCGACTGCCACGTTTCTGCGTTTTGCTGACGCATGGACGCGTGCTCATGGTCGCAGTGTGAGCGCGCCATAATAGCCTGGGCTGTTCGTAACGTTTCATGTGCTACCGTGACCGCACAAGTGAACCGTCCACCGTGAATTATCACTATTATTTTACAACATTGCCACAAACCATCATGGTGCTGCAAACGCCGGCAAGAGATAGCAGAGAGGCACATAACGTTGGCGGCCGAAGCCGTGGAGATGGGGTATAATTATACCGGTATGCTGTGCGGGGTGACATCCCAGCCTGTGCGTTCTGCGGCGCTCCGCTCATCAGCATCCTACAGAGTACAGTAGTGCAAAGAGTTTTCTGGCGCAGCTCTTGACAGATAGGGACCGGCGGATTCTGCTCGAAAAGGTGACAGATTCTGCTCGAAAAGCAGTGAAAGTGGCAGAACCATACAAACCTTATGGCGGGCAATTCCTCGAATTCTGCTCCATTTTTTTTATCCACATACCAAACATGCATGAAACTTACCAGAAAAAGTACCGAATTCTGCCAATTTTTCTGCCGGCAGAATCCGCCGGGCCCGATTGACAGACCACATCTCACTCTCCAAGCCACCATTAATTATTTTTCCCATTTATTTATACTTGGCGTATTTTCCGGAGTATGTGCTGCACTTTGAACACCCGAGATTCACCCCCAAAACAGGGGTGCGGCTTACTCCGATGATCACGTTAACGGTGATAAAATAGGATAGATGTCTGCATTTCGTGGTAATAAATGGAGGGGGGGGGGGGGGGGTGCGACTTATACCCCAGTGGGGCATACTCCGGAAATCACGGTAATATTTGTTTGTGTAAATTTAAACTCGGATGTTGGCAATGAACAAAATCAGTCATTTGATAAAATTTAATTCGAAAATGTCTTGAGTGTATGGATGTTGTTCTTACCGCTCGCCTCAACAATCTCCACGTTCTCATTTCCTTTCTTCTTCAGCGTGTAGGCAGCTGTAAGGCCCGATAGGCCAGCCCCCACAATCAACACATCTAATATGGACTCGTCGGAACCTGCGACCTGTGTGCGCGGTTCTACGGTGGGTTCGTTGCTGGCTGGCGATGGCACAGGTGCATCACTACTCACACTAGGTGCACTGTCCTCGCTCGGTGCACTCTTCCCCGGCGCCGCGTCGTGTCCGTCGTCAGTGCTAGCGTCCGGCACTTCAGCCTCGTCGCCCTGGAGTGCGGTGGTGGATTGGTCCTGAGTAGCAGCAGCTTTCTCCGGCTGGGTCTGTGCATTGCCTTCATCGCCATCAGCCGTAGTACCAACATTCATTTGTTCGTTGTGTCGAGAAGGTGGCGATTGTTCCCCGTCCTCCATCGTCCGAGACTATTGCAGAAGCCAAAATCTAATAACAACAACAATAATTATTATTGTTGTTGTTGACTATTGCGAAGCCAAATAATTATTATGTTCTGTTTGAAATGAATGGACACCGAGTTTCTAGGGATGTACTGCACTACAACCTACCCGTAACCGAGGCTCCACAGCCAGCAAAACACAGAGACTGTGGACTACACTGTTGCACACAGCTTCTCAGCGAAAACTACATGTATTTTTAGTATTTCAACGTTTCACTCTCACTTGGCCTTCGCCGCCCTGCATGTTTGCTGATTTTCTCCAGAAAAATCTAGTTGCTGGTTCAGTGGTTGCCTCTGGTCCTGACAATGAGATAAATTATTTGTTTGACACACTGATTCGCAGTGACAGGCTGTGCAACAATGCCGTGGGACAACAACATCACACGAGAAGACCATCTTGACAGGTAGAGACTGGGCCCTCGACCCTCTTCTTTTCGCAAGTGCAAAAAAGAATCTATATGTAGGACTCAGTATAGAGTCCATGCACTATAATTATGATGTCCAGCACCCTATACATGTATAGAGTCCATTGGTCCAAAATCCACTATACAGAGTCCAGGAGTCCACTCAGTTTTGATCAGCTTCATCCTGCCACGCAATCCCCTATAAGGAGTACACTTTTTCTACAAGTCCCCTATTCACGGTCCAGGATCGGAGTCCAGTTTATCCAGTCACGCCGTCCTGTGTGTTGTGCCCGAAAGAGAACACATTTTCAGTTTTGCTTGCCTCGTGGCAGCGCATTCCTTTCTTCACTTCAGCCATGGCTGTGCAGTTGCTGACAGTAATCTGTCTCGAGCTAAGGCTGTCATCACACCATTACATGGTACAAAGCGCTGCGTCTACGTCCACGTAAGGAGTTTTTGGTCGGTTGTCATGATGATCCGTATACGGGGTGAAAACGGGAGCAGAGGAAACGGGAGACGTGGACGTGGTATGGAGAGAGAGAAAAATCGCGCTTGAGAGATGAGTTGAGTTTTTTGCAGCTCCGGGCGTTTGAGCAGATTGTCGATTAGTTTTAGTTCGGTGCGCGTCCTACCGCCAAGCGCGCCATGCAGGGCGGCCACCAATGTTGTCGGTGCAACGGCAAAGGCTCCTGTGTTGGCTGTGCTTGCGTAAAGAGTGGACGGAACTGCCAAAACTGCGGCCCTGCTCAAAATGGGAGATGCAAGAACCAACCACCCTCGGCGAGCAAACCACCCTCCCAGGATACGGGTACGGGCGATACGGTAATGGCGGCAGGGCATGCGGCCTGCGGCAGAGCCGTGGGTACAGGAGCTGATGTCAGCACTCAGTCTCAGCAGCTGGCATGGGACCTGCTAGACCGACAACTACAGATAGACGACACTGCTAATACTGCTAGTGCGGCCGTCGACCGTGACACAGTCCATTCCTCGCCTGCGACCACGCTGCTGCAAGATGAATCCACTGCAGACATGCCTTCGACAGCTGAGGCAGTTGAGTTACTGGCCGACCTAGCGGGCTCGTACTCGCAGGAAATTACTGCAGAGGAAGGCGACGAGGAGCCCCAGCTGTCACTCCCTCTGTACACACGCAGCAGCTGCACGTTACAACTGGGAACCCACGATGCTGAATCCACAGCACAGATTATCTCTGCAGCATTTGAAGAGATAGTCCATTTCAAGCCGAATCTGTTCAGAGCACCTCAGGGAGCGATAGGCTCAAAGTTTGTATCGATAATGGCGACACTCTACCAATGCTTCGGTGAGAGGGGGGCAGGAGAGGGTGCTGCAATTAAAACTGCAATGGTCGCCACACAGCTCCTTCTGCAACAGCCGTTCCAATGCAAAGACCACAAAGTCCACAGGGACCGCCTACAACATCGTCTTGCCCTGTGGGCAGAAGGCAACGTGAACGAGCTTATGCTGGAAGCTCGGACCATCCAGCGGCAATTCCAGCAAAAAGCAGGCAAAAATCAGCAACGGCGCGACACACAGGATGATGCCAGACATTTTGCCACTCACGTTCACGAAGGGAAGCTCCGGTCGGGCCTGCGCATGCTGTCAGAGGACCAAGCCAAAGGTGTCCTATCCCTGGATGACATGATAGAGGGCAAGTCCGTGCGAGATACACTCAAGGAGAAACACCCACCAGCCGAACCTCTCCACCCTGAGGCTGTTCTACCGGGAGATGTCCCTCAGCCCCACCACGACACATACTTTGCTGCCCTCAATCGAGACGTCATCCGACAGGCTGCCCTCAATACTCAGGGCGCTGCAGGTCCATCTGGTATGGATGCGGCAGACTGGCGTTACATCTGCACATCGTTTAAGGCTGCATCTGACAGTCTGTGTGATGCATTGGCTTCTTGCGCCCGGAGACTTGCCACACAGTACATCGATCCTATCTCACTAGAGTCATTTGTTGCATGCCGCCTTATACCCCTGGACAAGGACCCAGGTGTCCGGCCCATCGGTATCGGTGAGGTGGTACGGCGCATCGTCAGTAAGGCAATCCTGAAGATTTCCAAAGCCCACATAGAGGATGCCGTTGGATGTCTTCAACTCTGTGGCGGCCAAGAGTCGGGCATTGAGGCAGCCATTCATGCCATGCGCAATGCATTCAGTGAGGATTCCACAGAAGGGGCTCTGTTTGCAGATGCATCAAATGCCTTCAACCGTCTCAATCGATCAGTATGCCTGCAAAATGTCCAACGTCTCTGTCCACCTCTGGCACCGGCACTCGTCAATACCTACCGCAGCCCAGCCAGGCTCTTCAGCAATGGCGAGACCATCCTCTCGTGTGAGGGGACAACCCAAGGTGACCCGCTCGCTATGCCCATGTACGCCTTGGGTACGGTCCCCCTCATCCGCGAGGCTTCCATTGCTGAAGCTCTGCAGTCCTGGTATGCAGATGACTCTGCCGCAGCAAGCACCATTAAGCGCCTGAGGAAGTGGTGGTCCATTCTTGTGGACCGGGGTCCATTGTACGGGTACTTCACAAACGCGACGAAATCCGTTCTTCTTGTGAAGCCACAGCATGAGGCCGAGGCGAGGAAGCTGTTCTCCGACACGGAGGTCCAAATACGCACTGATGGGTTTCGTCATCTTGGCGCGGTCCTTGGTACTGAGGAGTTCTGCAAAACCTATGTGTCAACCAAGGTTCAGAAATGGAGTCACGAGATCAGTGTGCTCTCCCAGTACGCCCTCAGCCACCCACAAGCGGCATACACGGCTTTCTGCAATGGTGTTAAGCACGAATGGTCATTTGTCGCTCGCACCATCCCGGCGACAGGTCCGCTGTTCGAGCCCATTGAGGACGTCGTACGTCTTCAGCTCATCCCCGCGCTTACCGGCCGGTGCCCGCCTGGTGACCAAACCAGGGCCGTACTGTCATTGCCCTGCAGACTTGGTGGATTGGGTCTCATCAACCCCACTCATCTTGAGGACCAATTCCGTCAGTCCAGCATCATCACCCAACCTCTTGTCGACAAGATCCTCAGACAGGAGTCCAACAACGGCGGAGTTCGAGTGGCTATGCAGCTCTTGAAGTCAGAAGTCCGAAAGGAGTCAACGCAACTGGCCAATGAGCAGATGGCTGCACTGCTTCAGCAACTGGACCCAGACATCCAGTATGCCGTGAACCTCGCGTCAGAGAAGGGTGCCTCAAGCTGGCTAACATCCAAGCCACTTGCAGTTTTCGGCTTCAAGTTGCACAAGGGGGCGTTTCGAGACTCCTTATGCCTCCGATATGGATGGACGCCGGATCATCTCCCGACAACGTGTGCATGTGGAAAGTCGTTCACGACCACCCATGCCCTGTCCTGCTCGCTGGGCGGCTATCCCTCTCTCCGCCACAACAAGATTCGGGACATCACGGCCCACCTTCTCCGGGAAGTTGCCCATGATGTAGCCGTCGAACCCCATCTCCAGCCTCTCTCGGGGGAACACTTCCCCTTGAGATCTACCATCACCGACGACAACGCGCGCCTTGATATCGCAGTCAGTGGATTGTATGGTGGACGGTTTGAGAGGACATTCCTTGATGTCCGGGTTTTCAACCCATTTGCCCCCTCAAACCAGAAGTCATCAATCCCGGCAGTGTACCGCAAGCACGAAAAGGAAAAGAGAAGAAGTTATGAGAGAAGAGTCGTTGAGGTAGAGCATGGATCATTCATCCCGGTCGTGCTCAGCACTACAGGTGGTCATGGCAAGGCAGCTGGCAATCTCTACGCTCGGATTGCATCCATGTTGGCCGATAAGAGGTCCGAGCCTTTCTCTATCGTCATGGCATACATCCGCACTCAACTGTCTTTTGCACTGGTCAATGCCGCAGTCACAGCCCTGAGAGGTCATCGGCACAAAGCGTCAAGAATCAACGGCTGCCCTTCGATCACGTTAGCAGTGGCAGAATGCAGCATGTAATGGTCAATCCTTGACTTAATTTGGTAATCGTTTTAGTACCTCGAACCCCGTGCTGAGTTTGATACGGTTTCTGGTATCTTGGCCGTAGACTACTACGCATACTGCTTCTAGCGGTTTCTTTGGATTTTACTGATTGATTACTAGTATACTGTAAAAAAAAGAGGGGGGGGGGGGGGGGGGTATACGACTTTTTGTATGAACGTGCGTATCTCCCCCAGCCTTTTTCCGAGCGACCCTGTACTTCGATGTACGTGGGTTCAAATTTCTCCACAAAACCTGACTGCGTGTACGCGTCAAGAACTGTGCCTGTCTGATGACACGACCACCCGTTTTGGTTTTTTCACCATAGACGTAGACGTAAACGGGAGTCGGAGAACATGGTGTGATGACGGCCTAACCAAGGAGGATAAGGAGACGTTCAAAATCAAATCTGGAAAGCGTCTTGTGGTTCTCTGAAGACGTTTCATCGGTGCGCGGGATGAAAGCAGAAATTGCAGAACGAGAAAAGTTCAGCACAGTTCAAATCTGACGAGGCAAGTACACTGACGCTCTCTTTCGTTCGACGCCACAAGGATCCCCTGTTTGGCTGGCCATTTCTGCCAGTAAGACGTTTGAACGGTTTCATCAGAGCGAGGGATGAAAGCAGAAAGCGGAGAAAGAGAAAAGTTCAGCACAGTTGCAATCTGACGAGTCAGATACACTGACACTCTCTTTCGTTCGACGCCACAAGGATACCCCTGTTTGACTGGACAAGAGCTGCCTGTACCACCGTGTCAAAAGGCTGTGCAACTACATGGCAGGACGATGACTGAGGTAAGGAAGCTTTTACTCGTTTCGATTGGTCTGCTGTTCTGTCGTTATGCTTGAATTTTTTTTCCATTTTCAAGGAGCGTATCG